CACGAATACATTTTTTTACTCTTCAAAACTTTCCCTTCACCAAATACAGATAAATAGTTAACAGCTGAAAGGAAGCTCACAAAGTCTCAGACACATGAGCTCAACTGTAAGTGCTCCGGAATGAGGGCCACATCATGTCCACTCCTGATGTCATTCCTTTGTTCTGCACCCCCCCCCCCAAGGGTTTCTTGTGTGTTGGGCAGTGTTCTGGGCACCAGCGATGCTGTGAGTTGTCCGTGACCGCCGTGAAGCTTGAGTTAGTTGGGGTTGGGAGGAGTCACACAAATTAACTTTCAGAAGCTACTGTTGGAAACCCAGCAGACCTGCCTGTTCAAAGGCTGGTTCTGCTATTCGCTTGTCACATGACCCAGACTGGTTTACTTAATCTAAGTATCACTTTCCTCACCTGTAAATCAGGATAATAACCAGACCTCCCTTTCAGGGTTGGTGTTTGGGTTCCTTGAGATAATCACACCTGTCCTTAACACAGTTTCGATGAGCCATATTGGGTAGACGGCTGGTTTACTTATTAGCTCCTCTAGTGTTCACTTGCCAGTGAGTTCTTTTAAGAGAGTTTGTGTGTATGTGCGTGTGCGTGTGCGTGTGCGTGCCGGTCCTGGGGCTTGAACTAAGGGCTCGGGTACGGTCCCTTAATTTTTCTGTTCAAGTCTTGTGTTCTGCCACATGAGCCACAGCTCCACATTTGGCTTTTTGCTGGTTAATTGGAGATAAAGAGTCTCACAGACTTTCCTGCTGGCTTTGAACCATGATTGTCAGATCCCAGGCTTCTGTATATCTAGGATTACAGCCATGACCCACTGGAGCCTTGCTGAATTTTTTTTTTTTAGGCTGTCTCTAAACTGTCTCATATTTAATAGCATCCATCAGCACAGAAACAACCCCCAAAGGTCTGCAGAGTACACTTTGGTTACATCATCTTCTTCTCTTGTGTGCTAAGTTGATGATGGCTGATCACAGAGCAAACTGTCCTTAGAACTGTTCGGAGGAAAAAAGAAGAGGTTAGACTGGTAAAACTACCGTAGGTGGCCGATGCACTTGTTTCTTTTATGTTTAGCAGAACTGGCTTGTGCAGCGGGCAGCCATTGCCTTGTGCCGGGCGCTGCTAGCAGAGATAATGTGGCTGGGAGTTTTTGCCCTGCACTCTTGGCCCCTGCATCCTTGTATTTCAGTCTGTATTGGGTTGGATTTCAGTTTTGTTTTTATCCCAGGGTGGGCAACCATGGACATGTTGGAGTTTGTCGACAGTATATTCTAGCAGTCATCTTTTTTTTCCTCTGTTCTTGAGTTTATGGTACTTAAAACGGTTCAGTCTGTGCAGACTGATTTTCCAAGAGACCAGACAGAAAGCTGAGAAGACCTCAGAGTACCTCCGCTTCACTCTGACCACAGAGGGAAGCCACTGCAATGTAAATCTTGAAGTGACAAAATGCAGTGTCTTATGTTCTAGAAAAGGCCCAGGTGCACCATGCAGGTTATTCTCATTAACATGAACATTAGAAGTTTGGAATGTCCTTTAGAAAAGATGTCTATTTGCAAGGTGCTGGTGGCTCACCCCTGTAATCCTAGCTACTCAGGAGGCTGAGATCTGAGGATTATGGTTCAAAGCCAACCCAGGCAGCAAAGTCTGTGAGAGATGCTTATTTCCAATTAACCACCAAAAAACTGGAAGTAGAGCTGTGGCTCCAAGTGGTAGGTAGACTATACACTAGCCTTCAGTGAAAAAGCTCAGAGACAGTGCCCAGGCCCTGAGTTCAAATCCCATTACTGGCAAAAAAAAAAAAAACCCAAAAAGATGTCTTTTTTTTTTTTTAACCAATAACCTATTTTCCAATGGTAAGGAAAGAAATTATTATGATTAAATTTTTTGTTTAACCCATATTGGGGCTTGAATTCAGAACCTGGCACTGCCCCTTAGCTTTATTTTGCTTGAGTATGGTGCTCTACCACTTGAGCCACAACTCCTCTTCTGGCTTTTTGGTGATTCATAGGAGATAAGAGTCTCACAGACCTTCCTGCCCAGGCTGGCTTCCAACTTTAATCCTCAGGTCCCAGCCATCTGAGTGGCTAGGATAACAGGCATAAGCCATCTGTCAGTACCCAGCAAGAAAAGAAAATATTTAAAAGAAGTCATTTAATAAAAGGAATTGTGGCCAGGTGCTGGTGGCTCACAGCTGTAATCCTGGCTACTCAGGAGGCTGAGATTTGAGGATCATAGTTCGAAGCCAGCCCAGGCAGGGAAATCCATGAGACTCATCTCCACTTAACCACCAGAAAATCAGAAGTGGCACTGTGGCTCGAAATGGTAGAGTACTAGCCTTAGGCTGAAGAGGGACAGTGCCCATTCCTAGAGTTGAAGCCCCATGACTGACAAAAAAAGAAGGAAACAAAAAAGCCCATGAACTGACCACCCCCCCCAAAAAAAAAGTAAGAAAAAAGAAAAGCAGGAAAGCAATATGGAGGTTCCTCAAAAGACTCCATATAGAGCTCCCCTATGACCCAGTAATTCCACTTTTGGGCATTTACCCAAACGATCACAAACAAGGCCATACTAAGGCTACCAGCACAACTATGTTTATCGCAGCATTATTTACCATGCTAAGATATGGAACCACCCCAACTGCCCCTCAGTAGATGAATGGATCAAGAAAATGTGATATATATATACACACACACACACATACATACATACATACATACATACAATGGAATTCTCTGCCTCCATCAGAAAGAATGACTCTGCTCCATTGTTAGGAAATGGAAACACTTGGAAAAATTATATTAAGTGAAGTAAGCCAGGCCCAAAGAAACATAGGTCCCATGGTTTCCCTTATTTGCAATAACTAGTACGTGTGTAGGACAAGCAGAAAAGGCCAAAAGCTATGTACATATGATGATATAAGATGATGTTAAGTGAAATGAACCCTAAGATAGGGTTCATTGCTATTGTTTCTAACGTATTTATAAGGTACCATGTGATGTTTTTGTTGCTTTGTGTGTTCCTCGCTCCCTATTTTCACTGTATTCCATGCGGTGCCCTGCATCTTGTATATACACTTCTCTAATTCGGGGAGGAGAAGGGAAAAAAACAAAATGCTTAAATAAGGATACAGGTTGATTCATTGTAACAATGAGATGTACCAACACTATGTTGCAAACTAACTTTACAACTTCAATTGCTGCTGTGGAGAGAGTGGGGGAGTTGGGGAGGTGGAAGGGATGATAAGGGGAAAACAAAGGAGGAGGCAACAATGCTCAACAGGAAATGTACTCATTATCTTGCTCATGTAACTGTAAAAAAACATACAACCCCCCCCCAAAGAAAAGCAATTGCAGTCTTGAAATTAAGTCCTTAATGAGGACTTGGGTGCTATCCCTGAGCTTTTTTACTCAACACTAGTGCTCTACTACTTGAGCCCATAGCTTTTGGAGGTTAATTGCAGCTAAGAGTCTCAAGGACTTTTCTTCCTGGGCTGTCTTCAAACCACAGTCCTCAGATCTCAGCCTCATGAATAGCTAGGATTACAGGCATGAATCTTTTTTTTTCTATCATTTTTAATGTATTTATAATGAACTATGTGATTTTTTTCTTTTTTTCTTTTATTGTGAAAATACTGTGCAGGCATGAATCCTTAAGTACCTGGCCTGTTAGTTTTATTTTATCTCAAAAGTCTTGGAAAAATAAGTTAAATTCAACACTCGAATATAGATGGTGTGTATCAGACTGCTATAACTGAAATAACGGGGCTTGTTACTGTGGTAAATTTGCTATTTAAATGTTCACTTTTTGAGAAGGGATTATCCAATAAATAGTTTTAAAAATTTTTAATTGTTATTATAAAGGTAATGTTCAGAGTAGTAAATAGTTCTTAAAATACTAACCAAAGGTCACAAAATATATTTTGTAATCAGTGATTATATATTACATAAGCTCACAGCCAGGATCAAGTGCCAAAAAGATTAAAAAAAAAATCCATGGGGCAGGGAAGGTGGCTTAGTGGTAGAATGCTTGCCTAGCTAGCATGCATGAAGCCCTGGGTTCAATTCCTCAGTACAGATAAACAGAAAGCTGGAAGTGGCGCTATGGCTCTTGTGGTAGAGTGCTAGCCTTGAGCCTAAGAAGCCCAGAGACAGTGCCCAGGCCATGAGTTCAAGCCCCAGGACTGGCAAAAAAAAAAAAATCCTTTGATGATACACAGTCACCCACAAAGCCAAGAGACCAATGTATTTAGGTTCCTAGATCACTTGCAGTAAAACTGACCACAGGAGAGAAAAAAATAAATTGTTTGGGCTTTTCTGTTTCTTGCTTCTTTTTTCATCTAATCATTTATTCAAAGATGAAATGGTATGTATAGTGTGAAATCTCAAGTTCAAGCTACTGAAGAGGGCTCAGATCTGGGTGATAGAAATTTGAAGTCAGCCCAGGGAAGAAAAGTCCATGGGACTCCATCTCTAATGAAACAGAAAAAAACTAAGCTAGAGATGTGGCTCAAGTGGTAGAGTACCAGCCTAGTAAGCAAGCAAGCTGAACAAGTAGGTGGTTTTGAGTTTCCAAATCCCAGCACTAGCAAAATTAGGAAAAGGCCGAGGCTCTACAGGCAGACAGCAATTCTCTTTTCTGGTTTCTAATTTATGATTTTTGTCTTTTTTTTTTTTTTTTTTTGTCGGTCTTGGGGCTTGAACTCTGGGCCTGGGCACTGTCCCTCAGCTCTTCAGCTCAAGGCGAGCGCTCTACCACTTGAGCTACAGCGCCACTTCCGGTTTTCTGGTGGTTTATTGGAGATCGGAGTCTCACGGTCTCACCTGCCCGGGCTGGCTTTGAACCGAGATCCTCAGATCTCAGCCTCCTGAGTAGCTAGGATTACAGGCGTGAGCCACCAGCACCCGGCATGATTTTTGTCTTTTTGCCTTAGGAGCTTTCTTATTTATTTTGGTGAGGCTAGGAAGTGTGTACACCTGTGTCACTCTTGTTTCTTTTATAGGCAAACTCAGGCTGTTGCCACAAACCCAATCAGAAGGAGGTCATCTTCAAGGATGTCTCTGGTAAGAAAGAAGGGAAATGGGATTGGATTGCTTGCTTTCTTACAGTGGTGTCATTTTCCTTGATAAAGTAGGCTTTTTTTTCTTTTTGGCAGTGTTACTTTTGAATTTGAACACAAAAAGTGATCTGACATTGGATCATTTTTATCTAGACAAGTGGTGATTTTTTTATAGGTTCAAAATTACATTCATACTCAAATACTAAGGTCCAGTCAAATACTACAGATTTTAACTGTTAGCCAAGAATAATGAGAAATGATAGGTGCTTAAATTACCTGATGACTTTGTCAATGAAATTGAATAGGCTAGCCGGGTGCCGGTGGCTCATGTCTGTAATCCTAGCTACTCAGGAGGCTGAGATCTGAGGATTGTAGTTGAAAGCCAGCCTGGGCAGGAAAGCCTACAATACTCTCTATCTCCCATTAATCACAGAAAAGCTGGAAGTTGTGCTCTGGCTCAAGTGGTAGGGTGCTAGCCTTGAGCAAAATTCAGGGACAGTGCCCAGGCCCCAGAGTTCAAGCTCTAGGACTGGGAAAAACAAAAACACCAAAAACACCACCTAAACCAAAAATTGATTATGCTGCATAATACCTTTATATTTGTGGCTTTATAAGGAAATTTGTATTTATTCCTTCTTGTTCATAACCTTTTGGATGCAGATTTCCTTGTGTTGCCACCATGTTCTTGTTATCTATATATCCATTCATTGGGCTTGGCGTTACAGCAGTAGATATGGTAGGGCCTGTTGCATCTTGCATGTTTATTTACCATACAAAACATAGTTCGCTCCTTTACATGTTTCTTAATGGAGAGAGAATCCAGCAGAGAATTACTTCACCTCTATTAGGTAGGTGCTTTTTTTAAAAAAAACATTTAATTGTTACTATAAAGGTGATGTACAGAGGGGTGACTGTTTTATGAGTCAGGTAATGAGTACATTTCTTTTTGAACAATGCATCCCCTTCCCTTGCTCTCCCAGTTTTTCCCTCCCATCCCCACCCACAGGTTATGGAGTTCATTTTCAACAGAGTGTCTAATGAGTACTAGTGCTGCATTTGTTCACCTGGCAATCTGTTTGAACTCTGTGTCCAACTTTTCATTTCTTAGCCGAAACCCCAGCCCTATGTGATGCCCCCTCCACCCCAGCTGCATTACAATGGACATTACACGGAGCCATATGCATCTTCCCAAGGTAAGGTGCACTCATTCTGTAATGAATACACCGGAGGAGACCTGAAGATCTTGAAGCCTGAGTAGTTTTAGGCTGATGTTCTACCCCAAATCATTGTTGTAGTTACAGCCACCCCAAATTCATAGATAAAGCCATTACAGCAGGGCACTGGTAGCTCATACCTGTAATCGTAGCTGTTCAGTGGCTGAGATTTGAGGATTGTGGTTCGAAGCAATCTGATTAGAATAGTCTATGAGACTCTTTATTTATTTATTTATTTTTGCTGGTTGTGGGGCTTGAACTCTGGGCTTGGATGCTGTCCCTGTGCTCTTCAGCTCAAGGCGAGCACTCTACCTCTTGAGCTACAGCGCCACTTCCAGTTTTCTGGCAGTTTATTGGAGATAAGAGTCTCACAGACTTTCCTGCCCAGGCTGGCTTTGAACCACGATCCTCAGATCTCAGCCTCCTGAGTAGCTAGGATTACCTGTAACAGGTGAGCCACTGATGCCCAGCTTCTACGAGACTCTTATCTCCAATTAACCACCAAAAAAGCCACAAGAGGAGGTGTGGCTCAAGTGGTAGAACATCAGACTTGATTAAAAAAAGCCAAGTGAGGTCATGAAGCCCTGAGTTCAAGCCCCAGTCCCTGCACAAAGAAAAGAAAAAAAAATTACATTCAAGTTTTTTCTTGTATATATGTTGAAGATACAAAATATCACATTTTGATGCTCAAACCCCAAGTTTAGCCAGTTGGGTTCCCTTTATGCTGGTTTTTGAGTCTATTCATGAATGTATGTATATAGATATGTATGTACTAGGGCTTTGAACTCAAGGCCTCACACTTGTGAGGCTGGTGCTCTACCCTTGAGTTAAGCTTCAAACCCTCCTAATTTCTTTTAACATTCTCTCATTAGCCCTCTCCTACTGCTCCCCCCCCCAGCATCTTGCCATGTAGTCCAGAGGATGGTCTTGAACCTATGATCCTCCTGCCTTTCCCTTCCTCAAACGCAGGTGCTGAAATTAAATGCAAGTGCCACTGTACTTGGCTTCCAGTAACTTTAAAAAGCGCTTTCTTGGTTTCTGGTAAAGCATGTCCAGGCTCCCCCCCACCCCCCGCGTGAGAAGTTCTTGTACCATTATTGCAATTTTCGTGTGTTTTATGACAACTGCCTCAAAGCTGATTTTTTTTTTCAGTCCTGGGGTTTGAACTCAGGGCTTGGGTGCTGTCCCCTGAGCCTCTTTGTGCTCAAGGCTAGCACTCTACCACTTGAGTCACAGTACCACTTCTGGCTTTTTTGAATAGTTTATTGGAGAAAAGAGTCTCATGGGGACTTTTCTGTATGGGCTGGCTTTGAACCATGATACTCAGATCTCAGCCTCCTGAGTAGCTAGGATTAAAGTATGTAGTGGCTAAGAGTGAGTTTTTTTTGTTTGTTTTTTTTTACTGTAGCATTAGTAATCATGCTTACTATAAAGGATCCAGTTGAGCTACAAGACTACATAGAAGAAACAGGGCCCCTTGTAGCCCCAGGCAGGTGCCTGCTTGGCATTTATTGTAAGGTGAATCAGATTCTGTGAACTCTGGACCCAAGTCTTATGAAATATGGTGGTTGGGCACAGGCAACCGAAACCCTTAGTCGCCTCCTTATCTTCCAGGCCTCTCATGGGGTTGTAGCTACTAGAGGGGTCTTGTAGGGAGATACTCAGCTCCTGTTGAGCCAGTATCCTTTTATAGTGGAAGCCTTTTCTTCATTCTGGAAGACTCTGTGCAAACAATAAAAATTCCAGTTAAGGAAATGTTTATCGAGGGTATTGGTACTAGGTCAGCATCAGCCTGGCTGCTTCCGTATTCGGGCAGAGAAAGCAGTTGGTGATTCAGTGCCTTGACCAACATTTCTGTGCCTCAAGAATTCCAGTCTGTTGTATGTCTCTAAGGAAACATGTGTTTTTATTACTTGTTTATTTATTTAATTTTTATTGTCTTTAAATAGTTGTACAGCAGGGTTTTCAATTCAGCATGTCAGTTTATGAGTACAATGCATCTTGATCCATGTTACCCCTTTCCTTATTCTCCCCCATCTGTTTTTAACTTTGTTTTGGGTAATTGTACTCTTGGCATTGGACTTAGGTTTGCTTGATTGTTTTTGGCTGCCCAGTCCTAAAGCAAGTAGACCCACCTCCCTCTGTAGATGAGGAATACCAGGCTCCTAGGTCCCACGTAGGTCGGGTGGCTGGTGACACGCCATTTGAGCAAGGTTTTTTTATTTTGTCAGTCATGGGGCTTGAACTCTGGGCCTGAGCGCTGTCCCTCAGCTCTTCAGCGCAAGTCGAGTGCTCTACCACTTGAGCCACAGCACCACTTCTGGTTTTCTAGTGGTTAATTGGAGATAAGAGTCTCACACTTTCCTGCCCAGGCTGTTTTTGAACTGCAGTCCTCAGATCTCAGCCTCCTGAGATGCCAGGATTGAGCCACCAGTGCCTGGCTGAGCAAGGATTTTTACCAGTGGGGTGGAAAGTGTCACCCAAGATCAGGGCCTACCTACCTCATAGTTGGCTGGAGTAATGGGTTCAGTTTAATGCATTAAAAAAATAAATAAAGCTGAGCACTGGTAGCTTAGGCCTATAGTCCTAGCTACTCAGGAGGCTGAGATAGGAGGATCACAGTTCAAAGCCAGTCCAGACAGGAAAATCTGTGAGACTCTTATCTCCAATAAACTCTTCAGAAAAAAAGCCAGAAGTGGCTCTGTACCTCAAGTGGTGGAGCGCGCCCCTTGAGCGCAAAGAAACTCCGGGGCAGCGCCCAGGTCCTAAGTTCGAACCCCGGGACTGGCAAGAAAATAAAATAAAATAAAAATTCATTTGCAAACTTCCCTTTTCTCCCCCAGATAACCTCTTTGTGCCCAACCAGAATGGCTACTACTGCCACTCGCAGACGAGTTTGGATAGAGCGCAGATGGAGCTCGGCGGTAGGATCCGCAACGGCAGCGTGTACAGTGCCCACAGCACCAACTCCCTCAACACCCCCCAGTCCTTCCTGCAGCCCTCGCCCATGTCCTCCAACCCCAGCATCACGGGCAGCGACGTCGTGAGGCCTGACTACGTCCCGTCCCACCGGCACAGCGCCCTGATCCCCCCGTCCTACCGCCCGACCCCCGACTACGAGACGGTGATGAAGCAGCTCAACCGCGGCCTGGCCCAGGCCGAGCGGCACAGCCACTCGCTGCGCAACCTCAGCATCGGCAGCTCCTACGCCTACAGCCGGCCCGACGCCCTGGTCTACAGCCAGCCCGAGATCCGGGAGCACGCGCATCTCGCCTCGCCCCAGGCGGCGCCCGGCCCCTTCGCCCTCAACTACAGCTTCCACCGCCAGTCGCCCTACCCGTACCCCGCCGAGCGGCGGCCCGTGGTGGGCGCCGTCAGCGTGCCCGAGCTGACCAACGTGCAGCTGCAGGCCCAGGACTACCCGGCCCCGAACATCATGAGGACGCAGGTGTACCGCCCGCCCCCGCCCTACCCCTACCCCAGGCCGGCCAACAGCACCCCGGACCTGTCCCGCCACCTGTACATCAGCAGCAGCAATCCGGATCTCATCACCCGGCGGGTGCACCACTCGGTGCAGACCTTCCAGGAGGACAGCCTGCCCGTGGCCCACTCGCTGCAGGAGGTCAGCGAGCCGCTCACGGCCGCCAGCCACGCGCAGCTGCACAAGAGGAACAGCATTGAGATCGCGGGCCTCGCCCACGGCGTGGAAGGCCTGCGGCTCAAGGAGAGGACCCTGTCGGCCTCGGCGGCCGACGCGGTCCCGAGGGCCCTCTCCGCCGGCTCCCAGTCCAGCATCTTCGCCGACAGAGCCAAGCAAGAGGAGAGCGAGGGGCAGCAGCAGCAGGAGGGCGGGAGCTACGGCCACAAGAAGTCTCTGTCGGAGGCCACCATGCTGATCCACAGCAGCGAGGAGGACGAGGACCAGGAGGAGGACCGCCGCTCGCAGGCCCTGGCCGCCCGGCTGGAGCCCCGGCCCCCCGCCCCCTACTGCCCCGAGCCACAGCCGAGCTACCCCTGCGCTCCGGTCAGTGCCCTCAGCGGCCCTCTCCACATACTCGAGCCCAAGCCCCACGTCACAGAGACGGAGAAGAGGGCCAGGGACTTCAGCCCCCTGCACCTGGTTGCGGAAGGACAGCGGCCCCGGAGGGACGGACGGCTGACGCCCTCCATGTCCGAGTCCGACCTCACCACGTCCGGGAGATACCGAGCCAGGCGGGACTCTCTGAAGAAGAGGCCCGTGTCAGATCTCCTCTCCGGGAAGAAGCACGTGGTGGAAGGACGTCCCCCGGTCGGGGTAAGCCTCCCGCAGCACCCCCACCCCCTTCCTGTCCTGTGTCTCACTAGTTTTTTTCTTCTCATTATGTGCAGTGGTTCTCAGCTTCTTGTTCTTTAACATTTTCACACCTCCCCCTCCCCTCCCTCCTCCTCTTCCTCCTCCTCCTCCTCCCCCTCCTCCTCCTATTCCTTTTCTTTGGGCTGCTACTGGGACTTGAACTAAGGGCCTGGGCATTGCCCCTTAACTTCTTCACTCACGGCTGGTGCTCTTTCCACTTGAGCCACAGCTCCACCTCTAGCTTTTTTGTCAGTAAAGTGGAGATAAGAGTCTCATGATCTTTCTTGCCCAGGCTGCCTTTGAACGTCCATCTTCAGATCTCAGCTTCCTGAGTAGCTGGGACTACGGGCAAGACTTACCAGCGCTCTATACTTTGTTTGGTCTTTATTTTTGACTCATTTGTGTTTATATATGGAAGTAATACAGACTGAGGAGACTTTTTAGTGGTTTTCCTAAACATAATTGGATGGAGTGAGAAGGCTCCATGGAAGAGAAGGGTCAGAGTGAATGGGAAGAATGTCTTAGAAATGCAGTGTTAAGAGAGAAGAGGTGACGATTTCAGGACCAGCCAAGATTGCTTTCCTAACCATTCACTTAAAATCTGTGAGGCGGCATCCTGTCCCGGAGCCGCTCAGGTGGAGTCTGAGGGAGTCACCGAGGCTGGGTTCCCAGCTCACTCTATCGCTAGGTCAGCGTCTGTAGACACAGTTTGAATACATCCCAATTTTGCCATGACCTCTGAGGACCAGAAGTCATTGTGGAATTTTTTTTTTTCAAGACAAAACAAAACCCCCAGAGCTCCATGTCCTCCATGTCTCATTAGCTCGATGAAAGATGAAGTGAACTAAGAATTCAAGGCAAGTTCTTTGCAGAAGCATGGGCCCTTTACTACTCCATGTCGTCACAAAGTGTAGATGAAGCACTGCTTACCTATTTGAAACAAAATGTAAAAGAAACAACTATTATCATCATCTCTGGCTGCCCTTTTTATTCAGGGGGGAGGAGGCACTACCCCTGAGCTCTTTTCTTTTCTTTTTTTTTTTCCTTTCAAGGCTAGTACTCTATTACTTGAGCCACAGCTCCACTTCTAGCTTTTTGGTAGTTAATTGGAGATAAGAGTCTCATAGACATTCCAAATGGCCTGGCTTTGAATCATAATCCTCAGATCTCAGCCTCCTAAGTAGCTAGGATTACAGGCGCCAGCCATAGGCACCCAGCTCTGCCTGCTATTCTTAGGGTTTACTATGGGGCTAGTGCTTGATTGACTTTGCTATCCAGTTTATAACCAGCGGACTGTTATTCTGCCCATCTACAGATATAAACCAGTGGACTGTAAGAGCAGGACCTTTAGTTTAGCATGTCAGTTGTAAGGCTTAAACTCTGGGCCTGGATACTGTCCCTGAGCATTTTTGCTCAAGGCCTACCACTTTGAGCCCTACCACTTTGAGCCATAGCACCACTTCCAGTTTTCTCCAGGTTAATTGAGATAAGAGTCTCACAGACTTTCCTGCCCAAGCTGGCTTTGAACTGTGATTCTCAGATTTCAGCCTCCTGAGTAGCTCGGATTACAGGTGTGAGCCATCAGTGCCCAACTTATAGGTAACTTTTTGAGTTGTGTGTCAATCTTATTCTTCAATTACAGTAGCACTCTTGCAGCATTTTCTTTTCTTACCCTAGTATCTTTTTCCTTATGTTCTCCTTTTAATATTATTTTAAATTATCCTTAAGGAGCAGTAGAGGGTGTTTCAGTTCAACATGTCAGTTTGTAAGGACAATGCATCTTGATCAGTGCTACTCCTTTCATATTATTTTGATATTGGGGTTTTGTAACCTTTTCTGGTTTGGTAGAACTGGAATAAACCTGATTTCATTTAAGACAGACAGAGCAAACCATTTCTTTCAAGTTGGGTCTACTTATTGTGGCTTCTAAGAAAGTATAGAGTAAATATCCAAGGAGACTTAGCTTTCTTAGACTTACTTCCTATTGAGAGGAAAATCATTGTTTAATAATAACTTCAGGAAATGCCTATTTTCAATAGGTAGAAATTCTGTTGTTGTTCTCTCTTACACTCTTATCTTCCTGATGGAAATTTCAGCCAGTTATTTTCCTGCTTTAAAAACATGGCTATTCTAAAAACAATACAATAGGGGCTGGGAAGGTGGCTCAGTAGTAGAGCGCTTGCCTTGCATGCCTGAGGCCCTGGGTTCAATTCCTCAGCACCACATAAGCAAAAA